TTTCTAAGAAAAGGTAGGTTTTGAGGGGGGGTAGCATATATATATACATATACATATGTATTTATACGTATACACACATGTACGGACATGTACTTACATGTGCATGCATGCACACAGACATGCTTACAAAGTACGTATTTAACCGTATATGCATATGTACATCTATACATATGTATGATCATATGGGTAGTTTTCAAAATTATGGCCCTTTTGGTTCTAGATTATATTACGGCACCTCATATTCAGGGGTACCAAAATGGACGGGAACATGAGAGATCCCTGAATGAGGAAGCAAGCTTGCACCCAGACTTGGGTGATCTCTTGATGCAGTCACAGCCCCAGCAGCTCCGACTCCGTAAGGTTAAGTCACACCAGGACAGTGACAACTTGGAGGGGATGGACCTGTGGGATGCACTTGGAAATAATTTTGCTGATACCGCGGCAAAAAGTGCCCTGAAGCAGGACTTTGCTTTCTTGAAAGATGCTGTTCAGGGGATACATGCCCATACTTTGCAACAGCAGGACTTCTTGCACCTGTATTGCAAGTTTCTCGTAGAGCTCTCTGAGGCAGAGTGGGAGCTCAAGAAGCAGGTCAATGTCCGTGTGCAGCAAGCCCTTGCGGTGACTTCTGAGAACCATGTTGGTCACCCTGTCTTCATGCATTGGGAACAGCAGTTCCCTTGCCCAGGGACCTGCTATACAATTCCCGACATGGCGCTCGATTGGGCCCTGGCCGCCAGCTCGCCTCCATGGTACACACACCGCTTGTGGTCTTGGCTTCAAGGCTTGGAATGGTCTAACGCAGGTCAACATTCCGCTGGAGTGACAAGTCTGGAACTTCTGGTTGACTTCGTTGTCTGTATAGGGTCGTGTCCGCCCGTGCGAGTAACTAGGGATGGTGAGGCCTGGACTGAGCTGCGAAACAGCACGCTTGCTTATCCGATCACACTGCAGGAGTGGAGCCAAGTCCTCATGAAATCCATTCGACAACTTGAGCGGCTCACAGGTATCGCCTTGATACCTGCCAGCCGGACCAAAGTATACACCTTGAGACCTCTTGGTATTCATTCACCTCGCCATGGACTTGTTTGTGGACCTTGCTGGAGGAGTCCCTCAATGACCTTCGGCCTACTGGCGATGGTGATTGAAACTGGCGACATTCAGCCGCTCTTGAGACATTGCTCCAGCACCGAGGCTTCAGTTCCGGACAGGGATGCCAACAACCGCTATGTGGCAATGTCCACGCGCGAGCGGGACGCTCTAGCTAGGTGGTTACGTAGGATTCGCTGACTGACCCTTTGGACGAGGCCTCGTGCACGCCCTCGGGCTGGCCGAGGTCTTTTCGCGCTGAGGAAAGGTACCAAAATGGACCCTAATTTTGAGGATTTCCCATATACATACACAATTCATACACTGACATGCATATGACATGCATATATATATATACATACACGGATATACATATATATATATACATATACATATGTAATTACATACGCACATACAATGCCCTAAACCCTTAAACCCTAACCCCAAAACCCTAAACCCTACACCCGATATATCCCTATACAGCCCCTATAACCCCAATATAAACCTACATACCCCTATACTATCACAATAACCCATATACCCTAAACCCTAATCAAACTCTA